TGGCCCTTGCTGGAGCTCATGGGGCACCCGTCTCGGGTCATGATATGTCTGCCTCACCTAGCCTTCCACCGGATGCCAACAGCCAATCCGTGTTTGATCAAACCGCAGAACAAAACCTCATGCAGACTCTGAGCCAGGAGGTACACGGAAGTCAGTACCCTCAGCATGCTCAGCAAACTCCTGATCACATCGATCCTCACATGCAGTTGGGACAGTAGAGCATTGTCATATGCAACCTTTTATTTGAATTAGCTTTTCGTCCGCAAGTTTTGAGCTTCGGATTTGCAATTTCGTTTCGGAGTCTAGGGCAGGATTGAGATTTGTTCCTTCGGGAACCACACTTGTTTTACTATGGGATTGCCACATTGCGCCGGATTGGGTTGCTTTTATTGCATTCCAAGTGTATGAGTACATAGTTGAGAACATCAAAATGAATAATGAAAAGAAGAAGAAAAGCCCTTGGATAGATGTATAATGTAGCCCTATAAAAAAGGCCCTCCGAGGTCCTAGTTCAGATGGTCCGTGCACTACCCGTGTGACTTTGAATCTCCCTATAAACGAACGTATAACCGCCATTGATTGGCCTTGTACTTGGAAGTCTGCAGCCCAGTCTCGATTGAAGGATACTTGCAGGGGTTTTCCGCCGATATCTGCCCACCATGGCCGACTCTCAAACATCGCAACCTCCCCAACCCACACCTCAGAACGGATCACAAGAACACCCCCCTCCATCTGACACAGAAGATCACATCAAAACTGAGCCCGATCTTGATGCTTCCATCGAAAAAGACGTCGACATGACCACCGACAACCAGACCGGAACGAATGCGAACGCCGCGCCTGGCCAAGATCCCATGGCCCCAGCGCCAGAACCCTCCAAGAAGGAAACAAGCTTGCGCGAGTTCCTCGGCAAGATGGATGACTATGCACCAATTGTAAGTCATCTCTCAGACAAGCCTGTAATCTCACTGGGCTTCCCCTGATCACCCGGTCACACGGTGGACGTCCCGGCCAACCATGTGATCTACCCCCAAGATTTCCCCCCAAAGCATGTGAAAGCAAGACCCGCGACACAAGACACAAGATCCCATTAACCCAAAGAAAAGCAAAAGAAAGCTGACTCTTGATCTCCAGATTCCCGACGCTGTCACCGCCCACTACCTCACCCTCGCCGGTCTCCCACCACCAGGCACAGGGCCCGGCCAGACCCCACCTCACCTCGCGCGACTCCTAGCACTTGCCGCGCAAAAGTTCGTCTCAGACATCGCAGCAGACTCGTATCAGTTTGCCCGTATCCGCGCCTCAAACAGCTCCTCCGCAAACAATCCTATCGGCAGTCTAGCAGCTGCAGCTGGTATCGGTGCTCCGGCCGGCGCAGGTGCCCCAGCTCCTGGCGGTGATGGCAGCAAGAGCAGCAAAGCCGGCACTCATCTCGGTATCCAGCGGCCTGGATTTGGAGGTGGTGGTTCCGGTGGCTCTGGTCAGGGACGCACGGTGTTGACCATGGAGGACCTTGGAATGGCAGTTTCAGAATATGGGGTTAGCGTGAAGCGAGGGGAGTTCTACAGGTAGTACAGTGATGGAAATTGGTTGGTGGGTTTGTTATTTGTGGCCTACTCTTTATTTGCACTTTTTCCCATAATTTGTCTTTTGCGTTTTCTGAGGGACGGCGTTCAGGTGGGCAAATGGTCTTGAGTGACCTGGGATCATGACTGCATTATTAGTCTGGGCTGGTGGCTGGGCGGATCCAATGGATTGGCGTTTTCTTCAATTGTGATCTGGTACTAGAATCTATGTATACAATGCCACAGATACTGGTTGTGGAATGATATGAACATTTCCCATGTGATTGGCTTAAAATCTATATTAGAATCTGTAGAAGCATAGCATATTGAACTGGAAGTAAAGGTCTACAGGACAATGTCATTCTTTGCCTTCTATATAGGTTATATATTTAGGTTTTGCACACTTATCGCATCGCACATTACGATTGACACTTTGCATCTAGAAAAAAGAAGAATGTATATTGAACTCCAACCCAAAAGCAGCTAATGTCACATGGACCCCGACGATATATCTGTACATAGTGTGGCAAAATAAAGAGACGCAATACAGCTCTCCCGACGCAAAGAGGTGCCTGCATTAGGCGATTATGCGAATCGTTTATTTGTTCTTAGACTGCTTGTATGTGAAGCGCTTGCGGGTCCTATAGAGCAAACGAAATGTTAGCAACTAACCACATCACCATGAACCCGCCTATCATGCTTGCGCTGAACGGGCATACAAAGGTGTATACTTACGCAACATATTCTCCAAGCTTCCGTCCGACCATCTCTTCAGTCACCTGGATCTCAACATATGTCTTTCCATTGTGCACAGCAAAGCGCAGACCGACAAAGTTCGGTAGGATGGTTGCGGCGCGTTTCGTGGTGCGGATCGGGGGGTGTTGGGTGGAGGGGGAAGAGTGCGTGGGAGAGGGAGACTGTTTTGAATTATCGATCAGTTTTTTGTACCAGTATAAGAAAGCCCGATTGTGAGTATATTTTTTGGGCTCAAGGGTAGGGCGGATTGGTTTCTATTAGGCATTGGATGTCACGTACGGGACGATGTTTGGGCCTGTTGTAAGGGTTAGCGTGTGGTTTCTTGGATATTTATCAAGATATAGAGATCTTCAAGATCTGACAAGACTCACCTTTCCAGACCGACCGGCCGAAAAGGGCACGTGTGGGGAACATTTTGGCTTGAGGTTTTCCGCAACTGCAATTCCGCGATGTTGAAGATCAATGTCGAAGTCTCGGCGGGATTATGTCAGCAAATATACATCCCGGTCCATGGATGACCTGGCGTTCGGTTCAAATGCGAAGAAATGAATACAATAAATTGACTGAGTGATGAATGAAAATACACATGACCTAGCTAATTGAGACGAAATTAAATCAAACAAAAGTTGCAAGTTTCGTTGCAAGGTAGTAATACACCCAACAGCCGCCAGCAACTGTGGGCAGCGATTTCATACTCCATTTCACTCTGCCAGTTCCTCAAAGACCTTGACAAGACTGCGCACACCCCTGAGAAGATTCTCATCAGGGCCCTGTCCAGGGGTCCAACTGGCATGTGCGAAATCAATCAGGCGGAGGGCGTGGACTTTGGGAGTTTCCTCCTCGTCGTCATCGTCCTCTTCGGGCATCTGCATGGTTTCGGGATCAATGTTGATATTGATAGCCTGTTGAGGCACCCCATCAGCAAGTTGGACATTGACCATCTCCAAGGCTTCCTCGGGAATTTCGAATTCCTCGTCATCTTCGTCTTCGTCTTCTTCCCGAGAACGGGAGGCTGGGGCCTTCTGCTCCTCTTCAATTGCATGCTCCATCGCCTCTACATCTCCTTCGTAGACCACCAGCACACTTGCAGAGTACATCCGGCTCTCTTCGGACTCGAGAACCCGCTGCAGATTTTTCAATTCTTCTGCCAAGCGCTGAGCGACCATCTTTGATCGGTCTATCTTGCCCGCCTTTGCGCCAGCAAGGAAAGTTTCGAAGCCTTGCTTGACATTATCCTCCTTGAAAGAACGGCCGTACCACTTGTCAAACCGCCGATAGCCATCCTTCTCAATGACTTCGCCCTTTTCACCCTCTGCGCCCTCGTATTTCGTAGCATATGGATCTGTCCGATCACCCTCATCAGTCTCCCCATTATGGCCTGTCCAGACCTTCATGCCCGCAATGCGATATCCAAGGCTAGAGCTGGTAGTCTCCTTCGAGACCTCATCGAGCTTCTTCCGCTTCTCGAGCGGGGCATCGTCGGCCCATAAACGCGCGCCGAGTTTAACGTCCAGCACGTTCGGCCGACGGAACCCGCAGGCGATATTCTCCAGCACGATCGATAAGCCAGTATCAATTTGCTTTCCCCCAGAAGGTACCCATGCTGCTTCCTCCTTGGCGGGGGCAGCGCCGTCTTCGGGGGTGGAAGCTGTGTGGGATGGTGGTTGGCTAGGAAGGGAGGAATCGGGAGTTACATCGTCAGACTCAGGAAGTGGAAGGACGCCAGATTCTCGGGCGGTAGCGATCGCCTGCGGTGGTTGTTGCTCGGAAGATGAGAGGGATCCGACGTAGAGGGGCATAAACTCCTGGAATGCGGGGTGGAGCGCGCTGGACTCGTAGAATTCTACCTCCTGTCGGGTGCATGGCTTCGCGATCAGGGCACCTGAAGGCGTACAGCGAACACCATCGCTGGAGAGAAACGTCTTTTTAGTATTGCCGTAGATCTCATATCGTATTCAAGTCCGCCAGGGTTGGTTTTCTCTGCGCACCCAGCCGAATGATGTGGGACGTGCCAGGAACAGAGCGGGGGTGTGAAACTTACTGTCCCGCAGCAGCATGGTCAAAAGGGACTAGGTCCTCGCTGCCTAGCTGAGGTGTTTTTCGACTTTCTGATTTTGAGGACATTTTGATACAACTCTGCTCAAGCTGAGGTGTGTATTTCGAAGACAAACTGGAATATTCCTGAGATGAGGATGTTCACAGGTAGACTTTCAAGCTTGACAAGTGGACAAGATGAATTTGAATATCAATATCTAAAGAAAGAAGGGAGATGAAGTACATGAAGTACATGAAGAGACAAACCTCCGAAACGGAGATGAGGGGGCGATGTCATTTTCGGCCCTAACTCCATATCTATACCCGTGGACGATCTATACAACTTCAATGCGTTCAATGTTCATGAATTTTCTTCTTAGTTTGAAATATTATAGTGTTTTATGTATAACATCTTCTCAAGTGAAAGAAACATGATATATGTTAGTTTGACCTCATCGTCCTCTTTCAACAGCATCACAACTCTCATCACGACTAAGCATCACGACTAAGCAACCCATTGCCCCAGGCGAGACCCTCCAAGGCTGCGGATTGGGTTTCTCTTCTATTTTGATCTTTTCTTTTCTTCTTCATCGCTTCTCGCGCGACACGGAATCATCGTTCTTTCACACACCTTCATCATTCATCATGGATGATAATTTTGATCCCCCGCGGGAAGAGAATTTGTCTATTGAAGCTACTCAGCCACTGGAGCCCAGTGCTGCTCAGAAGCCCATGAAGCGCACTGAAGCCATGGCCACCGACGATGGTCCCACTGTTCACCTTGGCCCCATCAACCAGGGCCAAGAGCATACCGAAGCTGGCAAGGGAGAATCTTCTACTTTGCAGTCAGCTTCCAACCTGAGTAACTCTTCTGCTAGGCCTAAGGTTGCTCATGTTCATTTTCTTAGCCCGGCTGAGCTCGAGAAGTTGAAGGTTGCATCCAAGCATGATGTGAGTGTCCCGGCTCGGTCTGACCAGGTCCCAATCACTTCAGTTTCCCAGAAGGAATATTATGCTAGCAATGCTCTAAAGACTAGGGAGCCCTATCAGAGTATTTCGGAGGTTCTAGCTGAAGCCGAGCTTGGAGAAGCCACTCCCAAAGCAACTGGTCTTTCAGGCGATATCAAAGAGCCAGAGAGGACTGATGACACCTTCGGTATGGACGATGATGCAGTCTCGGAACGAACATCCAAGGTTGGATTCAAGCATGATCCCGACGAGGAAAAGGCTCTCGCAAATGTGGAACTGGACATTGGTCGTTCGAAGAAAAAGAAGAACAAGAGGCGCCCGAAGAGTCAGAGGGGAGAGGTAAGACTGTGATACTAATGCTTGCCTGCCCACATATCGTCTGACAGTTTTCATAGAACGCACCCTCTGGATTTGAACCCTTTTACGCTGATGCGCCAATTACCCCAGCGGAGTTCGAGGAGAACAAGCAGATTTATGATCCGTATGTCCATATATTCCTTCAATTGAGACATTATCTAATACTTAATGACAGAGCTTTACCAGTTCTCGAGTAAGGTTCTTGAAGATGATCTATGACATAACGCCTACTAATATGACACATCTAGTCGAATTGACGAGGGCATCAAGCGCTTCTTGTACAAGCGACGCCTTGAGCCCTACAGACGCAAGGTTTTTCTCAAGTATCTGCAGTATGGCGGTGTCAGCGTGGGCCCCAATCATTCCCAGGGAGTGACCCCGTCGGAACTGAAGGAAATGACCAAAGAAGAGGCAATGCAAGCTCGCTGCACCACGGCCATCTTTCCCAAGAGGGGCAAGCCATACCCTATCCAGTGGAACGATGTTGCCACTGGCTACCTGTGAGTATTGAGACATCTGAAGAATTAGTTCAAGTCACATATGCTGACTTGTTGATAGAACTGGATATTACATGGGCTACTACAACCCTGAGACCAAGGAGGAGATTAAAATCTGCACTGATACAATGAAGAATTTCTTCTCTTATCTGCTCTATCACGACGTTTGCCCCGAGTACAAGGAGGATCTCGAGGAAGCCCGAAAGACTTGTGATAGGGCTGCCAAGGAGTTGTGGATGAACCAGTTACTTGTTAATCATCGAGGCCCCGGGGACTTCAACCGCGGCTGCTCCGTGCTATTTGGCGGCTACTACTTCGAGGATGTGGATGACCCGGCGGCTTGGATTAATGTTCGACACGCTGATACAAGGGTGTTCACCTCTGACATGGCTCGCAAGGCCGTCAAGTACGCCATCGCAATCGCCGGAAATGATCGAACTGCACGCAAATTCAAAATTCTCGCTGACATGGACATGGACATGATTGAAGCCAAACGGGTTGAAGATATCGATGGCTTCGAGGTTATCTCTGTGGAGGAACCTACCGAGGAAACCATCGCGTACTACAGGGAGCTGGGGCCTGACCTCATTCCAGTGGGCAAGGTTCGAGCCAAGGAATTCCGCGATCCTGCCAGAGGTGCTTTTGACCTGGCTCCTTGGGAAAAGGTTGACTGGGATGCTGGTTTTGCCCCGGCCTACGAGTTTGAATTCCTCCTGGAAGCCGATTTCTTTGTCAACCTCTTACCTGGAATGAAGATCATCACGACCGTCTATCAGACCAACTTTGGACAGTACTACTTTGATGAAATACTGTCTGTGCTGCCAACTTTCTACAAGTTCATGTACAATGACTGGATGATGGACTACGTGGAACCCGCTCCTATTAACTTTATTCCCGATGAGGAGGAAGTCGCACGCCGCCGCGCAAGAGATTCTATCATTGAGCCTCTTGAGCCCACCCCTGCCGATTGGGCTATCTACCTCGTGACAAACGAGCTGGACTTCAATTTCAACCCGGATCATCATCCTATGAAACCCACTTGGGAAGTGATCCATGCCCTTCAGAGCTTTGGCTGGGACATGGAGGAAATCAAATATTGGATGGACTTGCCCAAGGATCCTTATCCGGAGAGAGGCAAGCACTGCATGACCCAGGGAGAGCCACGCCCCATCCGCCTTAGCGATGAGCCTCGCGATATTCCGTTTGATGAGAAGCGTTTCCCACGCCTTAAGCGGATCATCGGATATTTCATGAATCCTGAGAGAACCAAGCCTGTTTTCGATCCGGAGAACATGGCAAAGGCTCTCGAGGGCAGAAAGAAGCAGATAGAAAATCAAGTCAAGCAAGCCGCCCTGGATGTGGAGGCTCTCCACGAGCACAAGAAGCAGATTGAAAAGGAAGAGGCTAAACTTGCTAAGTTTCTCAGCGAGCAAAGAGCGCAGATAAAGAATCAGGCTGAGCAAGCCGCCGAGGCTGCAAAGGAACAGGCCGAGCTAGTAGCTCAGACTGTGAAGAAGCGGGAGCCCGAAGCATAGCCCAGTCTTGGACAGACAAACATCCAAGCAATCAAGATTTCCAGTGAGTAGGAGATTACAAAGAATGAAGGACTCGAGAGAGTTTGCAGTCAAGGAGTGGCAGACATCCAGGCGACTGAGATTTTGAGTGCGAAGAGTCAAGAGCCCGAGGTACAGACCAACCGAGACCTCGGAGGCTAGTGAGAAGAACGAGACAATGAAGGGTAAACTGAGGGAAGGGAACCAATGACTGAAATTTCGCTAAGTGCAGCTATCTAGTTACTACGTGATCAGTCTGCTACGCATCTGCCATTGCTTTTTACAAATATGTTTTAACCCAAACGCTGAACCAGCAGTGAAACCCATATGGATATCCAAGAAAATCAAAGTCTTGCATTATCTATAGATCATAATGTATTTCGTATTGTATATGGAAGCACGTTCTGCTTCAAGGCTTCACGAGCGGCTTACCCATGGTCTTCCGCCCTTCAAGATCCTGTCGAAAGGGTTAGAAAACACAACGATCACGCAAAAAAAAAAAAAAAAGACGGAGACTACCTACCTTGTGCACTTGAGCAATGTCTTCCAGAGGATAAATTTTGTGGATTTTGGTCTTGAGCTGACCCGACTTCAGCAGGCCGAACAGATCATTGCTGTAGGTCTCGAACTCTTCGCGAGTCTGAATGTATCCGAAGAGCGACGGACGAGCAATCTTGACGCACTTGGGGGTAAGTTTTCTGTCAAAAACTCATCAGTATCACTGGCCACGGCACATCTAGAGAGGGAAAATCCATACGCAATAGGGAACGGTGGCACAGGCCCGCTGGCGTTACCAAACCAGACAATAGTACCCTTGCGCTTGACAGCCTCCAAGCTTCCTTCCCAGGTATCTTTGCCGACAGAATCATAAACAACATCGACACCACGGCCGCCAGTAGCCTCCTTAACTGTCTTGACCCAGTCCTTACCCTCCTCACTGCGGTAATCAATCACCACGTCAGCACCGAGGCTCTTCACAAGCGCACACTTCTCTGCGCCGCCGGCGGTGCCAATAACCTTGGCACCCATAGTCTTCAAAATCTGCGTCATAAGGAAGCCAGCACCACCGGCCGCAGCGTGGAGAAGAACCCAGTCGCCCTTCTGCACGGGATAAGTCTCCTTTGCGAAAGCAAGCACCGTCATACCGCTCAGGAACGACGCCATGACATCCTCATCACTGATCCCCTCGGGGATCTTCACGGTGTAGGCCGCCGGCGCTGCGGTGTACTCCGCATACCCACCGTTAGCCAACCATGCCACCCGATCGCCGATCTCAAAGCCCGAAGTCTCAGGACCGACAGCAGCGACCACACCAGCGCCCTCGCGGCCCAAGACCTCGGGCTTGGGTGAGGCGTACAGGCCTGTTCGGAAATAGGTGTCGATGTAGTTGATGCCCGAAATATTGTTGCGCACTAGCAGCTGTCCTGCTTGTGGGGTAGGAACTGGGTATGAGGTCTTGAATTGCAGCACTTCAGGGCCGCCGGTCTGCTCGACCACTACGGCCTTCATGGTTGATGGGACGGACATGCTGCGGATTGGAACGAATTGGTTCACGAATGGAGGTAGAATTTGATTGCGGACTGTAAGTCGACTACTGTTTAGGAGAGATCGAAACATATTAATGAAGAAGATGGATGTAGGGGAGATATGAAGACCTTCACATTTGTCATCGATCCCCGCAATTCATCTCCACAGTCCGGAATTATTGCGCTTCTCTTCTCTTCTCTCTTCTCTTTGCCACAATGTTCCTCAACAAATTTCAATTGCATTCATTCAGAGTATATGGTGAGCTCCCTGTACTCTAAACAGGTTTACTCCCCAAAAAATGAATCCAATATTGAAATTTCGACTACGCAAATATCTCACAGGGATATGACGCCATTTCCGTCGGGCCACCAGTCGGAACAAGGGTACTCCGTATACTTGCTATATTATACACACCCCCTACAACACAGACCTCCAGGAACAATTATATCCAACGGATTTAGTGCCGCTATGTCTTCTCAGACAAAAGATCCAGCTTGAACCCCCTCCTGGTTTGACCTGCCGCCATATTGGCGCTTCAATCGTCCGTACCAAACCGAGAGGCAAACCACTCAGAGCCCCATGAGGGGCCAATCTCCCATGTCCCCGGCACATTGACCTGCATGACAAGGGCGGCATAGCGCCGACTTTGTATCATCTGCCGCTGACTGCATTACAAATGAAAGAGAGGAGATCTCCCCCGCTCCATACACACTACGCAGGCCATGGTCTTGGATCGATTTGACGTTTCCTCAACACCCCCTGGGCAACTAGGGAGATTTTCATTTGTTGCCCAATGATCCTGTGGTCTGATCTCGCAATAAATCGACCTGAAACACAACGGCAGTACCCGGGAGGTTCCACTTCGTGCCCAATGATCAACACGCTGCCATAGCCACACACCCCTTGATGACGGTGACTCGACCATATGTTTCACGAAAATCCACTGCCACCCTATGACTTCTCAGCCTGAAGCTATTCCTGTATTTTGCTCTCGCCCAATCACTGAAATGGCCTATCAGAGGTCCTTTCGCTCAGGGTGGTGCCCGATGCCATCCACCAATGCTTATATACCCTTGTACTCCCTGCTCGCGCACGTACTTTAAAGCGTGCACCTTTGTCTACTTCGTGAAAATTTTTCTCTCTCTTTCAGACGTGAAATATTTTCTTGCTCCCCTGCAACTTTTCTTACCTTTCAAGTCCAAATATTTATACTATGAACCACATTTCCCGAGCTATCCCACGAGACGTCAACGCACCAAGTTAACGTCATAGACCAAACATATTCCACACTCTCTGCGTGGCCAAACCAATTTTTTTTAGATATGACTTACTCTCGCGGCCCTCGACGGGCGCGATCGCAATGGCCTCCAGCACCATGCGTCGAGGAAGAACCCCAGTCTCTCTCGAAGGAGCTAAACGGTCTCTCCAAGCTTGGAGATAAGCCTGGGGTTGACGGCGTTCATACAAGAGGGGCTGTCGATCAGTATCCAATCATAGTCTCCGCCAACTCGCCCCTTCCATCTTCTGCCTCCCCGGACAGTGTTCCCAGTGTACCTGGGCTCGGTAGTGTCTCTTCCGATGAAAGTGCAGGGCCAACGACACCGCCTGCTCAAGAGCCCATCTTTCGGAATACCGTCAGATTTGATATTGATGATCGGCCGAAACGTGCACCGCCGTCAACCGCAAGTCAACCACGCGGCCCGCCATCTCGGCCTTCGGCCCAGCAACAGCCCACCCGCGAGCTTAATACACAGCTGGAATCCCAACCACCCTCTCATGGTCGGGTTGGCAATGCTAGCAGACGCGGTCCGCCAATGCAAACATCTCATGGCTCCCGTGGACCAAGTGCGCCGGATCGCAGTAATGCTCAAGCTCCTGCACACCACAAGCTCCATCCACAATCATCCAAGCCTTCCATCGGCCGATCCAACAGTGCAAGATATGCGCCCTCAGCAGCACGGCCAATGCCAGAACGCTTTCGACGGGAGCCTAGCTCGGGATATTCGTCAGATTCGACGACCACGCTCAACAGACCACCCCCGCAACAACCCCAGGCGCCTGTCCCCACTGTTCCTGTATCGACTCTGGCAAATGGGCCCACCCTCGCAGAACGCATTGATGAGAAACTTCGCCAGCGACAAGAACTGCGGGATTCGGGGACTATGTCAGACCCGGAGGTGCGGCAAAGTCCCCCAACTGTGAAGCCTGCTAAGCCAGTTCCTCTCGATGCTTCTCTGGCCCCTCCGCCTCCTGCTCCTGCTTCAGCATCGCACTCACCTTCGCGTGGGTCTCAGCGTGTCCCGACACAGCAAACACAACAGGAAGGGCCCCCGGCCTCACGTGCCCGCGCGACATCAGTGACAATGCCGCCTACCCAGTCAATGTACGGATCTCGCCATCCCTCAGGACCAGCACCCGAGATATTCAAGCCTACATCAACCCAGGTCGCAACCCAAGTCAATCCGGACAGGTCGCTGGCTCGTCCCGCAACGACTCGACCCCCTGGCACATCACCACAGCGCCCCGGCTCAGTAGGTCTGGGACTCTCTCCATGTCCTCGAACCATCGCCGTAGCAGGCTACCAAGACTGGTACACGCTTAAAGGTCTCACCCACCTGGACATCTGCCCGTCCTGCATGAGCCAAATTGCGCACTCCCGCTACCGGGACTACTTCATTCCCAGTCTCTCAAAGCCAGCCGGACAAAAGACACGATGTGCCTTCGCCAACGCATGGACCCGTCTCGCCTGGGCCCAGATGATCAAAAAGCAACACGATAGCCTGGAGCTCCTGTACCAAATGACCCGTCCACCACCCGGCACACGCGCGTGTCCCGGCCGCATCGTCGCCGAACAATCCTGGTACCGCATCTACGACCCAGAAACCGGCGGCGACCTAGCCGGCTTCAACGTCTGCAACAGCTGCGCGCGTAACATCCGTATCCTAATGCCCAGTCACCGCGACACCTTCCAGCCAAACCCAGACCCCGCCGAGCGTGTGTGCGACTTCGTGACCTCCAGTCCCCGATTCGTAAAATTCATCGATCTCCTCGATGCATCAGCTTCGCGCGCTGAATCGGACTCTTCACGCACCCGTCGCCCGGACACGCGCGAGTTCCTTAACTACGCACGGCGCAAGGTCGTGCTGCGTGATTGTCGTCGCGACAGACCTGCTCTTAGTACATGGCACTTTATCCCATCGCTGCCGGAGATGTGTGTGTGCGAAGATTGTTATGATGAAGTTGTTTGGCCGCTGGCTAGATCGAATCATCCTATTGCGTGCATGGTCACGACGAAGATGCGGATCTTGCCTGGTGATGGGCCTGGTCGGACTCGGGAGGCGAGTTGTCAACTATACTCGCCGCGTATGCGGGCGAAGTTCCGGGAGGCGGTTCTTAGAGATGATTTTGGGTTGTTGAAGTCTGTTGCGCAGAGGAGGGTTGAGGCCGAGAGGCGGTTCCTTGATCGGAGGGAGGAGCTGGTGGTTGCTCAGTCGAAGGGGTATGATTGTGATGAGGAGATGAGGAAGGCTGTTGATGAGTGGAGGAGGTGGGAATGAAATTTATGGATGCTGGTTGTTTGTCTAGTTCGGGGTTTGATATCTTTCTGGAAAAGCGTGTATACTTGGGAGCATTGTGTACAGTGATTGGAGGGAGTTCTGTTTTGTATTGTACTAGCATAGCATAGCATATATAGTAGCCTATTTAGGTAGAAAATGGCCCTGATATTACCTCTTACGCCTGTTGAACGCTGGAACCTGTTGAAGTCCGCAAGTAGTCCATTGTCATATTTATAGCCTTTGCTACGTCCACGCATCACGCCGGGTTCTCGACCTATCCAACTTGAAAAAAAAGAGCCTTATGTCTAGATTTGTCATTATCTCATTGACCCGCAGTGCTTTCGATCCAACTTGAATCTCCTCGGAACCATAAGATGCCACAGTAGAAGTGATCTTAGAACACAAAAGCCGATGGCTAGTTCTTTTGGGTGTTAGATCGCCAAGATGAGAGACATACACGAAGAAAAGTGGTTCGGGAAAACCAGCAAGTAGGCGACATGCTATTGTACAAGCTAAGAAACTGCAATGAACAGACACCTGTAGAATGATTGAATGTATGTAATAACGAGCCGCAACCCCATGCTAAGTGAAACCTAAATTCCCAACTCCAATATCCGAAGAAAATATGCAGATATAATGCAAGCAAGAAATAAATGCGATGCAAAGAGAGCCTCTAACCAACCAATCCCACCAACTCCCCAGGCCAACGCTTCGCCCAAATGATAGCACGTGGAGGCATTCTCCCACCAACAGGCGCAAGCACACGGATCGTTCCCTTGCTCGCGTCGACGTCGGCAACATACAAGAAGCCCATGATGCTTGCGTCACGGACTTCAGCGGGGGATGCTGTGGCAGATACATGTGTGATTGCGAGGAGGGTATTTGCCAGAGCGGATGGAACGGGTGGAAGGACCTTCTTCAGTGGGACGCTGCTGCCGTTGTTGGCGTTGGAGTTGTTATTTGCGTTGTCAGCAGGCTCGGAGAATGAACCCACGACACCGGGGAGGGGAGCGGCGCGGTCCGGGTCTTGTTTTGTTTCCTGTGAGGTGTAATCGTCCATGCCGCCACCGCCAGGGAGGAAAGAGTCGCCTGTTCCCAATTGGGAAGGGTCGTACTCGTCTTCGTCTTCATCGTCTGCTGAGGAGACGGTGTAGTTGTATATGGGGAGGGCAGCGAAGTCAAGTTGCTGTGCGTGGGGAGAAAGAGTGATAGCAGAAGACGGCGAAGAGGAGGGGATGGAGTTGCCGAAGAAGTAGGAACGGATTTGAGATTCTCGTGTTGCCTTGCGGAAGGCATCGTCACGGTCAACACAGCCACCCGATTTGGACAGCTTGACGACGGAAATGTGCTCGTCAAAGACAGCAGCTGTTGCGCTGGAGCTGGGCTTGTTGTCGTATTGTCTGGCAACGGTGCTGTACAGGCGCTCCGAGCCCAGTACTAGGATCGTTGTGATTGAGAATTCGGTGACAATGTGATTAATGAGTTCCATAGCGCCAGGCTTGTCTGTGCCGAGAATTCCCGGAGTATCGACGATGATTCCCGTTTCGCGCGCATCTTCATCTTCGGCCATCCGGCCCGTGACAGACAGTGCCAGGCGTGAGACGACTGGTCGGTATACGACGCCTTCGCCATCCAGTGGGCTTTGCATCGGGTAGCTGTACACAAGCGGCAGCTTGACAGGTACAGGGCTAGGTCCGGACATGGGACTGCTTCCCCAGCCATCTTCGACATCCAGGATGGTTCGAAAAGCAGTCGCAGTCAGAGTGCCAGGCACGCCAAGCATACCCTCGGTGGGGTCAAGGTTCACGACCAACGGCTGACGGCCTATTTTCGTCGCATAGGCGGTCAAGATCTTAGCCAAACTGGTTTTTCCGGTGTTTTCAGAGCCGAGAAGAAGCACGCGCGGGCCATCCTTGCCTATTGACAGGGCTTCTTCGCGCATCGTCTCCAGCGCAAAGTGGACATTGGCATATTCTACCATTGGCGTCTCCTCGGCCGTGTATTCGCTCTGACAACCTCCTGCGCCATGACCCACGGTCGGGGTAACTCCATCAGATGTAGTTGATGCCGTCTCAGCCGCCGTAACTTCAAGTACACAGCCATGCCATGTGAAGATGGCCGCTTTTGTGCCGGTGAACGTGTAGGTTTGAGATTCGGCAAGCTCTGTACCGAATAGTTCCGCGGTTCCGTTGAGAAGCTGCATAGCTTGAATGAGAGAGTGACAATCATATCAGAGGATATGACCTACCTTGACTTTGATGATATGCCCAAAGGCGACCTCAAAGCGCCATTCCGAGCCTGGGGTCAGGTTGATCTGTGATGGTGGCGCGGGTGCCTGCGACCTTTCCTCCGATGGCTGGGTTAGCTCAAGACCCGGGAGCGACATGTTGGTCAATGAGAGAAGCCTCGAGATACGTGATGCGGAGAGGAGTGAGAGAAGTATTGGAATTGTTATCGGGGTGCGGAGCTTGCGATGTTTTACCTGTTTGCATTCTTTACTTCGCCATCATTGGCCAGTATGGGAACTACGGAGACAGCTACATGTCGAGTCTACACTTTTCCAAGCTTTGTTCCTACATGCCCTAATTCTCTTCAGTCTGTAAATCTCACTTCGGTCGTAGAATAGCAAACACAAACATTACGTTGAAAGTATTTGATATCAATTATATCGAGAATACGTAGACCGGTAGACTAGTTATGCTTTACAATAAACGTGAACTGGTAACATCACATCAAAGCATATCACTGTCATTAAGCGAATCGTCCTTGACTACTTCGAAATCTGCCGCAGGGCAGTAGAATGTAGGAGATGGGGAAGTTGATATCAGGAGAGCAGGAATAAGGGTCATGAAATGAGCTAAGAGGCAACCCAAAAAACCAAGTCTGGTGCGGAACACAGGAGGGAAAGGGGAGGGCAAGATATTAGAAATGGTGTCAATAACAGGCACAGGACATTCAGGATCGCCGGCGAGGAATATATTTATGATAACGACAAGGGGAATTGGGCATCAGAAGCGAATATTTGGGTAGCTGTGCTGTCGCAAGCGACAGACGCCGGAAAGAGGAGACCAAACTTTCAAACAGACTGGACTCTGTCAAGCAAAACCATCTTCTGTTTTAGAAGAAGTATGGAATGGAAGCCCTGGATGGAAGGTTAGCATTGACTCGATCTGTGTAGCGAGGAATGACTTACGCAAGGGCAAATGCCACGGAGACACCGAAGATAGAACGGTTGCGGACACGCTCCTGCTTGAGCTTGTTCTCGAGCACCTTGGCTTTCTTGGCTCGTTGGGAAGATTCGGCCGATGTCTCTTCGTCATCGTCGTCCTCTGACTTGCGCTTCTTAGTCACCTTGACAGATGTTGACTCCGCAGTAGTGCCCTCGGCCTGCGCCTTGATGGCCTCTTCCACCATGTCCTTAGCCTGAGCAATCATCTCTGCGGTCTCAGCAGCAGAGGGCACTTCTGGCAGACTGATAGGCATATCGAGGGAAACAGTAGTGTGAGTAGACTCGACAATATCGGCGGCATCGTCGGCCACTGAAACCTCAACCGCCTCCTCCTGTTCCTCCTTGATTTCTTCTTTTTTCTTCTCCTTCTTTTCGGCCTTCTTCTTTTCCTTTGTCTCTCCCTTTGTTTCTTCTTCCGGCTCTGCAGTAGCAGATCTCGTTGACTTGCGCGCTCTGACATTCTTTCCAGGAGATCCGCTCGATTTAACTTCCGTTTCGGCATCCACAACTGCCAACTCGGGAATCGGGTTCGAGAACAGGGCTGAAGCTGTGTCTAATGCCGACTGAAGGCTAGCGTTTGCAGCCGTTGTGGACGGGGTGCTGGTAAGGTCCTTCATGATGCGGGTGCTGCGGACCTTTCGAGCAGATGACATCTTGCTCGGAGAAGCAGACCGACCTCTGCGATTGCGTTTCTGAATGGGGGGCTCACCGGCGGGAATTTCGAATTTCGGTGGGGGGGGTGATCTGTTTCTTTGCGCTGGAGGGGCTTTGGACAATATCCGTTGGGTCCAACAGTGCTCGCACCCACTCGTACATTTGGTATTCCTTGGAAAGCTCAAGGGCTAGGTATTAAGTCAGCATTTGTTTCACAGAGAGATCCCGAACAAAACATACCAAATGTGGGAGAGATCCACACATTGCCAGCAACTTCCTCCTCACTTGTGTACTCGCGAGCCTTCAAGTACTCACGCTCTGTCCGCTCTTCCTCGGCCTTGGCCCAGGGGAATGCAATTTTGAACATTCCAGTGGCACTGACAAAGCCGTCTTTACTCCGGCGCTGTGATGTTGAAGCCCGAGGTTAGTGATCGTTGGCTTCCAGGTTAGACAAAATAGGCGATCTCACCATCAAGAAGTAGCTTTCTGGGTGCTGTTGGGGGCTGTGGGAAGGGAAGATCTCAGAGCCCTCGAGATCCTTCGGCAACGGAGCACGAAGGTGGGCATACTCAAACACGCCTAGGTTCTCTGGCTTAGTTGCGTTTGAGGTGCCGATCTGGGCAGGCTTGACGGAGAGGTTTGTCTTTCCGAGACGACGGCGTGTGAGGAGCTCCTCGTCTGTTATCAAGAGAAAAAAAAGGAGTCGTTAGCGATAGCCTCGAGGCACTGAGGGAGCACGAGGCGGCTAGATAGCCGATGCGCGCGGTCGCGCGCCCACGCGCCAGTGTTTGAACTTACAAGAGGGAGCAGCGTCGGCCAAGATGTGCGGATTAAACTGTTTTGGAAGTGTTCGCGACATTGTGGGGGGACGTCGTGTGAAAGGGAAACGAGGATCTTGGGAGTTGAGGGAAAGATGCGCCAACGATGGCCACGTAGCAGGCGCGTCAAGCGACAAAAATGAAGAATCAAATAATACCAAGAAATTTAATATCTTGGCAGTAAAAAGTGCGCAACCAAAATGACGATCGATAAGAGGCAAAAACAAAAAGACCAAACCCAAGATAAAGAAGACAATCAGGAGAGATGAGAAGATGCGAGTCGCGAATAATCGTTGCGTCGTTCTGAAGCTTGACTCCTTCCGGTAAGGTCCGGAAAGTGCCTCGTCATGTGGGGTATTTAAGCTCTCTCATTGGTCAATCATGCAATACGACGTATCTGGACTACCCCAATGTATTTTATTCGTTGAACCCCGTGACATCTACATTCCTGGCCACCTCTGCTATAGACTCGACTTCATACGGAGTCCATGCAGACGTTTGTGTTTACTATCAACCTTTTTCTGGAGACTCACTTCTGGGGGATTATTTATACACAAGGCTTATATAATATTGCTTTCAATTGCTAGTCCGCCCCTCATTTTTCCCTCTCAAACCATGTAGACATCTCTGATATATATAGTTCACCCCTTTATGTCTCAACATGTCCTATGTACTATTTGCATTTTTGCATTGAGCCTATAAGACTCCTCCGTAGATGGCCACGTATGCAGCGTTGTGATGTCTTCTCAGCAGTCTCATTAATTCCTTAGGTCCATTTTCCAAGATGTTTCCTCTCCTTCTCAGTTTAATGGGCGAATAGCAGAAAGAAACCGACAAGAGTTTTAGTTTTTGAAGTCATCGATTCTACATGTAGCCTTTAACATATGATATGTACAATCTAAACATTCTATCAGCGTGAAGGTGGGCAAATACATACCGCTAGTTGTATGATCCTCGGCCCCCACACCCAAAATTGGGGCATAGTTGGGGCCAACATAAGTGCACGGAGTACGATCATTCCAATTATCTACATCTACACATTACCAGTAGAAAGCATCAGTTGACCCATACGTAGTCCAAACGGTTAATATAACCGTGCAGGATCAACGGTGCGTAAACATGTGCATACAAAAGTGGAAATCCGAATAGCCTCGCCCCTCTCCCACCGCCTTTCCACCCCCACCAGGTCTCAGGGGACGATTCGATCTTTTAGACCTTTTTGTTCTCTTTATCATCTCGAGTTTCAGATTTGATTCTTTCTTTCCTTCTGTTCAATTCCACCCCCCTTTTCTTAAATTCCTTTTCCGAACTCCAAGCCGTGCCCCCACTTTCTGAATCTGTAAACAATGGCCGACAATCACGAGGATGAGCTTGCCGCTAGCCAGACTGAGGGCTTCAAGGTCGGAGAGAAGAAGACCCTCGATGAGTACAACAAGCTCGGTATGTTGGTACAATTATAATTCGTTGGCAATATCTCGGTGAAATTCCCAGCTAACCGCCTTTCGCTCCCCCGCCATAGACGCAGACGATGAAGCTCTGAACCGCTGGAAAGCCTCTTTGGGCCTGAACTCCGGTGATCCAATTGCTGATCCCAACGACCCTCGCAAGTGTATTATCAAGTCCCTGGCTCTGCAAGTCGAGGGACGTGAGGATGTTGTTATCGACTTGTCTTCCCCGGGCTCTGTTGACAGCCTCAAGGATAAGCCTTTCAAGATCAAGGAGGGCTCCAAGTTCCACATCAAGGTGACCTTCCAGGTCCACCACGAAGTCCTGAGTGGCCTCAAGTACCTGCAGGTTATCAAGCGCAAGGGAATCCGGGTCAGCAAGGACGAGGAGATGCTGGGCAGCTACGCACCCAACACCACCACCAAGGTTAACTACTCTAAGGAATGTGAGTATCTAATTCTGGGTTCTACTTGTTACTTTCCAACCATAGCTTTTACTGACATTGTCCCATTTAAGTCAACGAGGAAGAGGCCCCGTCTGGTATGATCGCCCGTGGCCACTACAACGCCATTTCGAAGTTCATTGATGATGACCAGCACACTCACCTGCTGTTCGAATGGTCCTTTGACATTGCCAAGGACTGGTAAACATGAGTTGAGAGAGCTACCTCGTTGAGTTATTGAGCGGTCGTTTGTTTTCAAAGCGTGATGAGTTTCTTTCTTTGACAAAACCCGTTAAAGATGCGTCCCACTGGGCCGATACTTTGGACCCCAGTTTTATTGTTTATGCGTCATACTGAGCCTCCATTATTGGTGTATGATATTTTCATTTCAGATGCCAAGTAGCACATCTAGCTGTTTGTGAATGCACAGCTTTATCCCGAACTCCTGTCTAGTGCGCGGGGGTCAAAAAAAAGGAAATTGAAATATGAACATTAACATCAAACAAAACATTAACAGTAACCAATGGGTATCATGAGAAGATTCGGAGATTCACAAGAAGTAGTCGACCATTGGACTAGAGCCATCCTTGATCTGCTGCTGCTGTTGACCCAGTTGTTCAAGGCGGTGGGCATCATTCTCCGGTGCGGCGTCAAAAATGTTGAAGAAGCGCTCACCAGTGTCGCTCACTTCAAGCACACTAGCAAGATTTCCACAACGGTAGCAGTAATTGGGTGCACTCCAGACCGTGCTCAGTCGATCATCATATAGAACCTGGTAGCCTTCTTGGCAGAGTTGGTGTGCACGTAGGATATGAGACATGCTGTTCACCTCGAGGAACTTCCGCACAACCTGTGCTCCAAAAGTGTATCCAGCACCACGGGGTGATAGTGAGAATTCATCTCGTTCTGTATCAGGGTCGGACCAGACCAGATCAGCCATGGGACCTTCGTGTGGGATTTCGCGGAAACGGTCGATAATCTTGATCTGGTCGATTGAATGGATAGAAGGTGACAAGCCGCCATGTACACAAAATATCTCATCATTAATAACAACGCTCAGTGTCAAAAAGTCAAACATGTCGGTGAAGTAATGCCAGACATTGGCATTGCCGTATTTGCGGGCACACTCGGTGTAGAAGCCGTATGATTGGGTGACGCCACGCGACTCGTGATTACCGCGGATAAGATGCACTCGTTGGGGGTATCGTAACTTGAGACACACTAGAAGTGAGATAGTCTCCACACTGAAAAGGCCGCGGTCGACATAATCGCCTGTCAATTATCTTGTCAGCAACACTCCAAAAGCGAGCAATAAATATGCTCAAGCCCTAGGCCTGTTTTATCCTCGAACAAAGGGCTCTCCGGGTGTGACTAACCAAGGAATAGGTAATTTGTGTCGGGACAGAACCCCCCAATCTTGAAGATCTCGATCATATCAAAAAATTGGCCGTGTATATCGCCGACCACAGTGACCGGAGCAGCAATATGTACCACATTGCTTTCCTTCATTAAAAGTTCCTTCGCTTTGAGGCAAATTGCCTCGATCACTGAATCTGCAAGCAGCTCTTTTCGATAAAGGCGTGCGATGCACTCGTCGAGATCGATATTCGCTGTGAGGCGACAGGTCAGCATAAGCTCGGAGATACCATGTCGGTGAATCAAAATTTCATGTACATACTTGGTAGACCGGGCATTGTGGTGAAATGCAGATACAGTAACTTCAAAACAAATGAGTGAGGCTGAAGTTTTTTGTATATCTTATTCAAGATGAGGATCTTCGTGTACTTCGTCACTGTGTCAAGGTAGACGAGGGCGGACAGCTAAAGGAAAGTAGCATTCAAGAGGAAGAGGTCGAGATCGATATGTAAGGTTAAGAGGATGACAGTCAAGGAGATGGGCGCGTCAATCTAGCAAGCATCCTGAGTGCAGCCGATCCTCGTTTCCAGTGCAGAGGGTTTTGGAATTAAAGATCGAGGCCACATCAGGGCCGAACTGCGGGACGAGCTCAGGCACAGGGCGGTTAGATCCACACCGCCTTTGTATGTAGAGAAACCTGAATTACAAGGCCACTATCAGCCAACTGGCCAACCAATATGTACGATGTCAAATATCGTTAGTTGAGTGACCCAAATAAGGGTTTGGTGCGAGACCATGAAATGAAAGTTCTTATACCCACAGAAGAATGACACTCGATGAATGCAAGTGAACGACACAAAATATATCAAATTCATCTGCATACAGAAATGCAGTAAACAGCCGATAATAAAGAACACTTCCACCGTTCGAACAATGCTAGGCGATTGAATGATCCTTTTCGTGGTGTTTAACTCGAACGGGATGCTTCTATAGCTACCACAGCACACTGGGTTGTACGGACGTCTACTGGGGATCTTCGTCATCTCTAACATTTGGGTTCGATCTGTTGAATCCCTCCGACTGACCAAGCCAGAATGAATCATGACACTTCGGTGCACCTATAGGCGGTGATAGAGCGAAAATGCCGAAGAACACTGGCGAGCCTTTAAATGTAAGAGTCAAGAAGAGGATCAATATTTTTGCCTGAAATAAAATCCACCACCATGTGGCCCCAACCATGTGCGCCCATACAGAAATCCTGTATCCGAGGAGCTGTGACGATATTTGGATGGATTATCCCATACGCCTTCTAATTCTTCGCCTCATAGAAGACATGACGGCCGAACTTGACCACCAAGTCAGAATCTGGTAGCTTTACGACCTGGTTGCCATAACACGAGCTTCCAATAAATTGGTTTTCTGTGGAAGAAGGCCAATAGTCAGTAACTAACTTGCGATTGTCTAATTCAACAGCCATGGTATCAGACATGAAAAGCGATGGAAAGAGTAAAGAGATAAGCTTCTTTTTAGGCTCGGGGAGTGGCCCGCCCCGAACCCGAAGTGGGTTAGCCCGACACTATGAGAATAGACTGGAGTTGTGCGAGACTGACCTTCTCAAGACTTCTAGGCCGTTGAATAGTTTCGAAAAAGAAAAAAAGAAATCCAAACCGGGTTTGAAAGATCTTATGTCCACCCCAGCTTTGGGCCGCTGTGGTCCACGAGGCCATTTGTCTTTGGTATAATCAATGCAACCACAAATTACATTATACTTCTCGAAAGCCTCAAATATCTATCTTGACTTTCTCCCACCGTGAAGTAGCAACCCTCCCATCCTTGATCACAGCTAGAACATGCTCCTCCACCTGATCCAAAATAGTGATATCCTCTAACGGATTGCCCTTCAAGATCAAAAGATCTGCCACAAATCCCTCACGAATCTGACCCAACCTATGTTCCTGCATAAGAAGGCGAGCAGCATTGACAGTAGCACTACGCAAAATCTGCAACGGAGTCAACACGGAACTGCGCACCGAGAACTCCTTGCTCTGAGCAAAATGCATCGGGCCAAGAAGATCCGTCCCAAAGCAGACAGTCACACCCGCATCGACAGCCGGCTTTATTGCCTGCAATCCCTTCTCGAGAACCTCCTCATTCTTAGCAGCACTGTCAGCAGACAGGAAATTCATCTGTTTAGACATGACATGCGTAATAAGCGTCGGAGTCAAGAAAACATCCATCTCAGCCATCATTTTCGCCGTCTCAGAATCAATAAGATTCCCATGTTCGATACCCCGCACCCCAAGCTTGATAGCTTGCTGAATCGCTCGTGGCGTATAACTATGACTCGTAACATATGTACCGGCGTTCCGCGCAACGGTCACAATAGCCCTAATCTCCTCATCCGAGAACTGCACATGTTCAATCCGGTCCGTGGGACTGGCAATCCCGCCACCGCCCATGATCTTGATGAAGTCCGCCCCCTGGCGTAGTTCCTCGCGTGCATATTTGTAACACTCTGCTGGACCGTCGACTATTCTGCTGATTCCGGAGATGGAACCGCCGCAGCATAGCTTGGTATCGTGGGACCCGCGCAAGTCGCCGTGTCCACCGGTTTGGGAGAGTGCATGTCCAGCGATGAAGAGACGAGGGCCTGGGATCACGCCTTCTTCGACGGCTTCCTTGGTTGCGAGGCTTGCGCCGCCACAGTCCCGGATTGAGGTAAAGCCGCGGTCTAGCATGGATTTGAGCACGTATGGCTGCCGCAGGAGACTGATTTGTTCGGTCATATCTTTGTAGGATCGTAAATCAGCCTCGCCTGGAACTACTGTTATATGGACATGGCAATCAATCAGGCCCGGACACAGGTATTTTCCGGTCAGATCGATCACATTTTCTTCGAGGAGGTCGTCCGTGATTGTAGTTGAGCCGTCTGTGACAAGTTGAACGACCTTGCCTTCTGAGATTCGGACTGTAGCGCTCTGGATCAGTTTGCCCTCGGCTGGGTCAACAATGGTCGCGTTCACAAAGACCAATTCTCTTTGAGGGTTGAGTTTCCAGGGCTTGATAACTCGTGAGATGTCCATATTTCCAGGGTTATGTTGATTTTTGCGAGAATTTGGTATAGATAGAAATCCGATTCAATAAGCAACCATGTCTCTCAAGTAGTACAGTAGTATGGCATGAGAAAAAAAGTAATGAGGCATGTAGAGGGCATACATCTCAGCTTTTTACTAGCAGTCCGGGGAGTCGGGGAGTCCGGGGAGACCGGGACTATAGATAGAACCCACGTTCCGCCTCGGCTGATTTGATATTAACCGGCTCTGCGCTGAATCAAATTCTTTGTTGTTACTCGCCTGCAGTGGAGTTAGCTGATATAGTCGATCTAACCACTTAAAAGCAACAAAGGACGTGGATAGTATGAAGCTATTGGCTCTTTTCACAATCAAGCTCACTAGCCGCTGCTTGGCGCCATGATGATTCTCCCCGAATTGTTGGCATAAGATCCATATTGCGAATCTCACGTCGAAGGTCCAGCACAAAGGGTCCGTGGGCCTAGTCTCTTCTAGGATACTACAATATCAAGGCGACAAGAGTGAGGTGGGCATTATGGACGGGCGATGTCGCAATCTAGGTGGCATCCTATATCCACAAAAAGGAGGATTGCGGATATCAGGTGATTAATGGACTATATCCGCAATTTGCGGAGAGGATATGTGAATATCTATAGACATTAAGGATGTTACAATCGCCTACCTAGAACTAATTCTATTAGAATAATCCCTTGATTCTAGGCTACCCTCCGAGGTACAGTTCATATAGCTCTTAAACCTTTAGACATAGAAGAATATAACAGTTTCTTATATATATTCTAATTTAGATTACAGATAAGGGGTGATTTTGGGAGGGGTTGAACGAGCCACGAGAACTGTATACTAACCCTCCTAAGCCCTTCTACATACTTGGGTTCGGTAAAAGCCAAATTAGACATGAACAACTTAGACAACTTTATAATTGATGTCGGAGTAATCGACCCTTCAGGAACTGCTAGCGTCTAGCCTTTTCTAGTGTCCGAGTTCGTAGCCGAGAGCCAAGCTAAGAGCCTAAGACCTGATTACTCCTTGGCACGATTTTGCTCGAATAGAGTATAAGTACCAAAGCTCCCCTTTTTATCCCCCTTGGCCCTATAAATATTCATCATCTTTATCACTCTAGCGGTTTCTCCGAAGATGGACCCTTTTGCAAGATTCCCAACCGAAATAATTTGGCAGATTCTCGAATCTTGCTGCGACTTCACCAGTTTGGATGGTCTTCAACAAATATCCCCCCGAATGGAACAAGCATTCAACGGCTCGTTCAAAAATATCACAGAAAGCGTCTTGAGAAATTGTTCCCATGCTTCAGAGGGGCTTCATCGCCATTTTACCCTCCTAGCCTCCATTCACTCGATGCCATTCACTCCAGAAACCATGCTAGAGGAGCTCGCTAGCTTGTCAGAAAGGGTTGAACGACCTAATTCCCTTTCTCCCATTCATTCGCTAGTTTCGGTGCGTTATACTGTGGGTATAGCAGCAAAAGTTCATCTTACTGCCTGTGCTTGTCTCCAATATCTCCTCAATCGTCTTGAGTCCGCAGAACCCCGGCTCCCTCTAGGTTCCACTTCCGATCTTATAGAATGGATATATAAACGACATCCACCACCTCAAGGTGGTGAAGTTATCCAATTTAATGTTGATCCACCATCATGGGTCGAATCTTATCGGACACATCGAGGCCTCTGGGGACTCGAAATTTTTCGCGAAATCCATAATATTGCAATAAAGCATTGGCTATGGTCTACTCATGATATGGACTATTTCACTAAAAGATTTTTGGAAAGTTATGGTCCGAAGGATTTGCTAGAGCTCCAGACGGTCTCGGAATGCGTGGTCGATCTATGTTCCTCCAAACCACTGATCCTCAGCCATCAAAGTTCATTTTTGATTGCTATCCCGTCACCAAAAAATTTAAAATTGAAAACATGCTGGCCTCTGCCAGGAGTTGAAGATACACCGGTCAATATAGATTGGTTTCGGTGTCGGTGTCCGGGCTCTGTTCTTTACCCAAACGGCAGTTCTTCCGAGTTCTATATTCTGAGTGGCGGAGTAAACGGGCGTGATAGCCACGCTCTCGGGCACTTGGATTTCAAACCGTTTCGAAGACTTGGTATACCGCTATGGGACAAATGGCGATTGTACCAAATGGGACTTACGCGAATATCTCGCAGGACGCTTTCACCACATGGAAACATTGTTGGCGGACAGTATGAGTGTAAAAAACGTGTCCATTGGGTGTGTTCGTATATATGGTTTAGTCTTACAGAGAGCGATGTACTGGAATAGGTTAAAAAAACGCATTTGTCTGACTGTAAATTCCATTAATATACTGCTCTATTATCGGCGTTAGCGGACAGGAAGCATAGGTCAATAAGCACATGTTGATTGCTATTAAGACAGAGAAAGAGGGATGGAAGGCTATCTATGTTGGCTGGTTGAAACCCTCAGAGCAGCCAACGACTGAGAGATCTTCGAGAATGATGGGTTGGAGCTTAGAGAAAAAGACAGGTTTATGGAAGGCGAATAGGGGGCTTTCGTGTTCATATCAAAAATGCTACCCTCATCACAGCTTGCTTAGCAAAATTCTCATTTGCCTCTTCAAACATTGCCTATCTGAGATGCTACCTAAGATGCCGCTACTTTCTCGAGCTCGACCTTTTGAATCTGCTTAGATAGAAGTGGCCGCGCTTTCTTCGTGATATTTATGTCGATATACCGGATGCAGATCATAGTGTTCATTTCTGAGAAAACAACCTTGATTGACATCATTACGCTCTCTTCTTTGTCCGTAAGAATCGTACGCGTCAATTCGAGATCGAGGAATTGGTACACTTCCGAGAGACATCGCAGCATAATTTGGCAAGATTCATCATGCTCATCTCTCATAAATGCGAATCCAACATGGAATTTGGAACCAGTTGCAACAAATCAACAATATCTAGTAACGGACGGCCATAGCAATCGGTCTTGTATGTATAAATTATAGAAATAGCTCTTAGGTTAATCGTTGGTAATGCAAAACAGGGTTTGTGTATACGGAATAGAGCAGCAGCATGATTCTCGCCATCAGCTTCATATCTGAAGAACCATTCTCCTGTCTTTGATAACGCCACAAACAAAGCTTGAAGAGGTGTCCTGCCAGCTGAGTCCTGACCGTGAGCCGTATCTCAGCATTTGAAGATATCCTGAGGGAGGAAACATCAATCAAAATTGTCCTTGAGTATCCCAGTCAGAATCTGATTTGTGTTGTCTGATAGTTAGTTAGACCCGCAGCGCAAGAGGTCATCACATGCACCATCCTAACGTTGTGTTCACGGTCAGTCTCTGAGGTCTCGAATAGGAAGAGGAGATGGGGATAGAAATAATCACTATTTGATGGCTGTGACAGGCCTGATTGCAGCGAGGATTTCACTGTTTCTGGTGTGGATGTCGGCCACCAAAATATATATATATATATACAGTGGTAAAGAGGGTGAAGAGTGAAAGAATGAAGTAGAAAGACGATGTAAGTTCTTAAGGAAACCAAGAGACTGCAGATGTCCCTATGGATGATGGGACCAAGTCTTGTCCAAAAAACCCTCTAAGCAACTATGCTTTGTATCAAAATTAATCTAGGAACATCATTCAATTTCATTTTCTCATATTTTCAATATAATCAAAAGGTTGTCCAAACAAGCCAACATCTATACATGTGACCACCATTTGAACAACTTTAATGAAGCAATGTCTGTGCCTCTTTACTCACAGCTTCGCTTTCAGAATCAGTTTCTTCTTCAGAGTCATCTTCTTCCGAGCTAGATCCTTCTTCCGAGTCTGTCTCCTCTTCTTCTGAATCAGTTTCACCTTCCTCGGAATCGGTTTCAGATTCGGTCTCGGTTTCCTCCTCTTCCTCCTCCTGTAGCCACTGATCGAGAGTCTTCTTGCCAGTCGGGTCTGTAGGCATAGCCGGACCATTTCGGTCCCGGCTTGGAACAGTCGTTTTGTGTTCACGAAGTGCTTTATCAAGGCGGTCACCTGCAGTCATGGAGGCGGTGTTGCTGGACGTGTCTGGTTTCACATCTTCGGTGCGAAGGCTGGGGTTGGGTTCTTGGCCTGGCTCGACCCAGTCTGGAAGATTCTCGTAACCTGGAAGCCCGTGGTGACCAGCGTCGGAGCCGACGACGAGAGTGGCGGAACCGATGAGTAAGTCCTTGCGCGTCTCGGATGGGCTAGGGGCGTGAGGTACTGGCTTTGGTGCTAGGAGAAGGAGGTTGGCAAGTTGGGTGGAAGACGGCGTTTCCAAAAGGTTCTTGTAGAGACGGGCCCGATCACGTAGGTCGTAAGAGATGTCGTAGCGCGCGAGAAGGAGGATATACCGCCATAATAACGTAATACGGTCTTCGGTTACTTCTTCTGTTTCCTTCGTTTCAGCACCGTAATTTTCTTGATATTCTTGGCCGCTGTCCCTTCCCCTTCATTTAGCTCGGCATCTTTCGGCTCATCGTCCCCATTGTCATTCCATTCGTTGTGGAACTCTTGCTGGGATTTGGCAGGAGCTTCGGCCTCGGGAAATGACGGCGGCGATGAAAGTTGTTCCACCTGTTCCTTTGGTGGATTCTGTAGGAGGTGGTGTAAATACACCTTAGCACCAAGAAGAACGATCTGCTGTTTGACGATTTCCATTTCATCTGCAAATCCTTTGATCAGGACGCGGAGAACGTCAGGCGCGATGTTGTTCTCTGGGTCAATTCCAGCGAACTCGCCAACCAGCCAAATGATGGTGGCTCGTGCGTCTGGGTGGGTTGTTGATCCCAGGTGCTTGACGAGCTGGAGAACAGTGTTTTTATGTGAGGCTGGATCTTGTTGGATCAAATGTCGAATGACAGTCAGTGCCTCTGACACGAGGTTGCCGTCTGCACTGGATATCTGGCCGAGAAGGATCCGTAGGCACATGCCTGCGGTACTTGGGTCGCCTTGCGCACAACGCCCAATGGCTCGTACACTCTCTCGTACCAGCTCGGGATCTGCGCCTTTAGAGAAGTGCTCTAGTTCGCTGATAATGACCCCCTTCCAGTGTTTTCCACAATGCGGAAACAGAATGGTTAGCACCTCCAGCTTAAGGCGCCAGATATGCGGCGGGTCGTTGGCGTGAACAAGGAAATGGGCCGTGTATTTTGCAAAAGGCTTGGGAGCCCTTAAAGCAACGGCAACAATATTGTACAGAGCGATGAGTTGCATGTCCTGCGGGCTTCGTAACAGAGCCACCAGAGGACCAACTGCTGTCGCAATATATTCTGATGGAGCAAGGTAAAGGAAGCAGCGGACGACACTGACAATCACGGCAGAGTTTCGGCTCTGCAGTAGAATTTTACAGGCTCGGAGTAGAAGCTCAAGATCAGGATCCATAACTGGAACTTCGTACTCTTCGGCATCATTCTGGGTCTCCTGCTGCTGCTTTTCGTCGTCGTAGAATGCCTCCGGGGCTGTGCGCTTAACCTTCTGGGTTCGGCGAGGGAAACACTTTCGCGCATAAAACGTCAATAGGCGCAACGTTGCTAGCTGACCCCATTCATCCATATCAACCAACTTCTTGACTAAGCTGCGATAGTTCTTGTGGATTAGGTCAATCTCATCCGGACACAGATCCAAGAATGCCGCGACAGCAGGGCCGACGACGAAGTATTGCGAATCACCCAAAAGTATTTCAAGATAGCCCATCAATTGTGGCAGAGTGTTTGGGTCCAGACGATAACATTTTGGAATAGCCAACGCAGCCGCCTTGCGCACATGTGGACTCATATCCCCACATCCTCTTTTGATGGCCAACGACACAATCTGGCTGATCACCGGAACCCGGATCCCCGACATAGTCCGAAGTGCCATTGTCCGAACCTGTGGGCTTGAATCGGTCAGCGATTTCTGGATCGCGTTTATGGACAGTAATGCCAGATCCGGCTCCGCCTCTGCATGATGGACCAAGTAGATGTAAACCAGCTTCTTGACTTCGAGGTTGGCGCTGGCGACATTCTTGACAACTGCCGAAAAGAAAGTAAGGGAGGGTTCGGATCGATACATCAACTAAGACAGCAAGTTGAGTTAGCCATTGCGGTTTCCATAGTTCCTGCCCACGGTCCCCGTACCGAGATGACCCTCCGCATTCCATCTAGAACATCCCGCTCATGGCGACTGTCAAGGAGCTTCTTGATGTGCGCGGGGCTGTATGTTCGCGAGGTATAGTCGGTGCTTGAGGTCCGATTGATAGCAGCGGACTGGGCAGCCTCTAATGTGAGCTCTCGAGCTATGCGCACATTGACGATCCACGGTCAGTTGAGGCCAAATAGAGCGAATTGCAGCCCAGCGTACCTGTTTCCAGCATCGAGGATATTCTGGAAATTGTTTCCATCTTTCCAGTCTTTGAGCGCCCAGTCCAAGGGCTTTGGGTAAGCTGGGGGAAATAGGTGAGAGGTGAGGGGAGGAAAGGCGGAGCTGCTCCGCGGAAGTGAAGTGGATGATGCCGCAACTCTTCGCCCGCCTTCGATCTGCAACGTTCTACTATTTACATACCACCTGACTCTAGCACTCTAGCACACGACCATAGTCTTTTGTGGTTAACGAATTATGGATTGAGTGATGAAATGATTTATCTCTCGTTGACGATCTCGGAGGAGCAATAAGTGGGAGCTACAAGACAGCTAGCCAAAGCAATGAGTCCAACATTCGTGGTCGCTCACTGCGATTTGGTGTCCGATCTCTTGCAACAGCTACTTGAAGGCAATTCAGATACCCATCTTATTGTCTGTGCAACCAGAGACGAATTCCTGGTGCAACTCACAGCAGCCATTCGCTCACTACGCGCTGATCCAGACACTGCTGCGAGACATGACCTGCTTACCAAAACCATCGGGCTGCTTGCCAGATCCAGCAAAATACGACTAGCATTCTGCGCAAGTTTAGAAAGTCTGCGGGCATACCTTGCTGTTTTCGGTCCTACTGTTGGTGTGACTACCGAGGGCGGAGCGCTTGCTCATGACCGAAAACTCCTTGCTGTCCTTGATATGATGGCTTTGCATGCTACGACTTCGGAATTCTCGGCACAGGGACTTTCAAGAACACTTGCTTCTGTCGTTGAGGCGTCCTCCAGGGCGGGAATGGATCTCCGACTTTATGAATGCATGGATGCCCTGGACCCTTCAAGTGGTGTTAAGGGAAGGAAGCTATGGGATGTGAACGTTCCCTTACTGAACGGATCAGTCCAAATTCGATTGGACCAAAACAGCTGGGATGGACGAGGCGTCACCGTGAAACGGGTCGCTGAACGGTGGTTTGAATTTGACTAGGATCATAGAATTGAAGACCAAAATATGCTTAATGCTACATTCAGACATGGCATTGTAAGATAATAAAACTCCTGAGGATGGATTTGTACTGTCCGGGTATCCTATAGCTGACCGCTGAACTCCTGTTTCGCACATAAATTACAACCGATTGATCATAGAGACTTCTCCATCTCCGTCATGTACAGCTTGATATGTGACTCCAGTTTTAAGTACTGGTCATGGGCTGACTGAATCTCGCTCTCAATATTCTCCTTCAAGTCGACCATCTAGAAGAGTTTGTTAGCAATGGTTCATCCCATATACACAGGGTAAAACATACCTTCTTCTCTGTCTGTTCAATGCGAATACGTCTTCGCTCCATGTCGCGTTGCTTCTCCGCACGTTCCTCGCGGAGTTGTTTTTGGACACTTCTGAGTTCTTCCATGCGTGCCTGCGCAATTTCGGCTTTCTCTTGTGCATTTTTCTGAAGTGCCTCAATACGCTCGACCCAACGGGCCAATTGACGCTGCAAGAGCTTCTCGGTCTGCTCGACCTCGCGGACGCTGTTCCCCCTGTCCGAGATAGCTTCTGCAGTCCTAGCAGCGCGAGATTCTTCTTCTTCCTCTTTTTGCATTTCAGCCGAAATATCATCCAGCAATTTGACACATCCCTGTACATCGTTGGAAACCACTGTGAACGTATCCGACGAGGTCTGCAGTGCACGTGCCCGCCTCTCCATCGCATCGATGGAGGCTTTTTCGCGCATCAGATTTTCGGATAGTTCAGCCAGTGAGGACTGGAGAGTAGCCGGAGATTCGAGCACATAAGGTCGTAGTTTCTCCGCTTCTTGTCGAGAACGGACGGTTCGTTCGGTCTTCTCTTCCAACTGCTGCTGCCGCCGAGCTCTTTCCGTCTTAACTCGATCGAGTGTTTCTGCGACTCGTGATTGTTCTCGGCCCAGCTCCAAAAGCCGCGCCTTGAGCGCATCGTTTCGGGAAACCTTCTCCCTCACGTGCGCTTCGTTGGATTGGAGATCCTGTCGCATCTCCCTTAGCCTTAATTCCATCTCCTGGTTCTCCGCAAGAAGTTCGTCAATGCGCGATTTCGTTTTCTCTGTCTTGTTGAAATGCTCGTCAATCACGGGTGTTTGGGATTCTCGGAATCGAACAAAGTTGATCAAGTATGAAAAGATTTTGACAAGTCGCTCATGCGTCGGTTTTGTGAGGTCTGTGAAGGTAAAGTCATTGACACCGCACTGATTTAAACCAGAATCGTTAGTTATATTTCGAGTTATTGTATGTGGGCAGCAATGAGCAAATACCTCCGCCAATAGCTTTCGGAGCATCATAAAGAAACCCATAAGGTTGCGCGTGTCATTGGGAACTATATCAGGGTAGTCGCCGCAGATATCTTCTGCGGCTGCATGCATCGCGGGCTCCACTGTCTCCCGGGTCGTGTTCATGAGCAGCTCTGCAAACCATTCGAACACCATCTGGATTTGCTGGGGGTTTGGTTTAGCTAGGTCGGCAAGGGTAAACGGTATACCGATATCGTTGATACATCCTGCGATCTCTTTGTCGGGCTATTCCAAATCAGTTTCGAACACAAGCTCAACAAGGAATCAAACTCACCAGGCGCATGAGGGCGTCATTCTCGTCCTCCTTTTTGCGCCCTCGGTTGTGGTGCTGGTTGCCTTGGAATTGCTGGCTCATACGGCTGTTATACCCCATCGCGGTGGAGTTGCGCGACATGATAGCTGAAGAGCCTGTCACCAGGCAAGGGGATTATTGACAAAGTGGATAGACTAATTGTTGTTGATTGGAGTTGATTGTTTACTTGGAGACAATCCCGCACACCGCCCGATCTGGATTAGTGCCTGGAGGGGCATCGTGCAAACCAGGCAAACATAGAATTCATGACTCTTTCTCTTCCCCGTTATACCTTGCGTTCCTCACACTTTCACCCCATCGTCGCTCGAACAACATGGCTTCCACCGATTCAGATGCGGCTGTGACAGATACTAAGCCATTTGAGTAAGTGAAATGCGCTTCCTTGAACCCCTCGCATCTGCTCACCGTTCCTCTAGCATTGTCGCAACCTACAATGAACTCCTCCGCTCCGATCCCGACCTTACTATGCCCATCGCGGCCATTGAAGCTCTCGTCCTTCTCCTCACACAGTCAGCCTCTTCAACGATATCAGAAACCTTGGATCTGCTTGAAAAATCCACCGCGCACCTGAAACGATCCATTTCTAACCCTATTGGTCTCTCTGCCGGAACTGATCTTTTCCAACGATACCTGATTACCACACTACAACGCCCTGGACAACTAGGCCCCGCAGGCGATTTCAAGGCCATCCGCACACATCTCTTGTCAAACGGACGGCTGTTTATCCGACGCGCCAAGGAAAGCCGAGAGAAAATCGCAGCATTCGGCCGTGGCTTCATTCGCGATGGCAGCACCATCCTCACAAACGGCGGTTCCCGAGCTGTCGCAGCGCTATTGCAACAGGCCGCAGACGAGGAAGGGGGCCCTTCCGCTGTGCGGTTCCGTGTTATCTACGTTCTGTCTTCTATTTCTCAGAATTGCGACCACCCAAATGAAGAACCGGAGGGTATGGAAACAGTCCGTGCTCTGAGAGCAAAGGGTGTGCCAGTTGCAACAATTCCCGAGTCCGCGGTGGCATATTCTCTCGGCAAGGCTGATATGGTTATTGTGGGTGCGGAGGGTGTGGTGGAGAATGGAGGCATTGTGTCTCGCATGGGAACCTACCAAATTGGTCTCCTTGCCAAAGCCATTGGGAAGCCGTTCTACGTGGTAGCAGAGAGCCACAAATTCGTTCGCTTGTACCCTCTTGGTCAGTACGACCTGCCGATTGAGCAACAAGTTGTTGAGTTCAAGTCCGAGGAAGATATTGCAGATGAGGGCAAGCAGCAGTCCTCCGCTGACTCAGATGAAGAGACTCCGATCAAGCTACCCCTTTGCGACTCGGTTGATTTCACTCCCCCTCACCTGATCTCTGCACTGATCACAGATAGCGGTGTCTTGACGCCCAGTGCTGTCAGTGAGGAATTGATCAAAATCTGGTTCTGAAGAAAATACAAGACAAAGCAGAGCCCTTTCTGCTATAGATTCCCTATGCTCTCAAAGAGGTTCATCAAGACAATATGGCGGGGAATAATTCAATGTGACACATGCATTTCATGCGGCCCTACTATGTGGATCATCGCAAGCGAACCAGACGGGACTTGCCCCTCTTCACACGTCTATTTCAATGTGGAAATCTATCACATTATATCCAGTACGCAGAACAAAAGAAGCTGCAGGGACGTGAGCGAATCACACCCCTCTATTCCTGTCATCGAACTCCTCGATATGGATGGACAAGGATATGGAATAGTTTCAATTTGGGGATCTTTTTTTCTCTCAGCCAAAGGCTGATTGAACTCAAGAAGTAACAAAAAATGTGAATCTCAAGAGTTATAGACGAAGTACAAAATTGTAGTCTGGTCTTCCCTGGTATCAATCACCTCCAAGGCTTCCATCAAAGTCATGCAGTCATCATCATCAATCATCAAAGCCTCTAGTTGTAGCGGAGCCCCTTCACAGTCTCATATGTTGAACACCATGTATGGAACCCCATATCAGGGCTTGTCCTGTATGTAGATGGATTCTTTATCTAGGCCTTCTAGGCCTATAACCAGCCGTCGTCTTGCCCCTCGATTCATCAGAAGGATAGGTCGTAAAAGTAGTCGTGTATCATAAATAATTAGGCACTCAAGCCTCTCAAAAAACCACACCAATGCCAATGCTCAGCCAAGTATGAACCAGATTGTTCGATCACAAGGGAACAATTGAACCGAGGCAGCGCAGCCGTTTTCCCCCTAACTCTCCTGTCACATCATGGTAAAAAGCTCAATTGGCAATCTGTTTCATGATAGCACGTTCCTGCATCTGTATTGCAGCGAACGCATAGAGAAGCAAGTATCCAAGAGCCACAAATATCCACAAGTCGGCCATTTTCGAAGGGTTCTAGCCAGAAAGTCGGTGAAGAGGGATATGTGTATGTAGGTGTGATGGGAAGGAATTCAAGGGTGTCAGGCGACCAGGACGGGGCTGGTTCAGGCGAATGATGCCAGCGTTTGGCTGGGGTTATGTATTGTCTCCGGTATAGACAGGTGTTAGGGAGGTTTGGGAATAATGTTAGGTTTCTCTGGTAGAACGGATAGAACATGAAAAGACACAAGAGAGATCCTTCATGGAATCTCATGCTCTTTAGACATTTTAAACACAACCAGACCGACACTTGACCGTGATAAAAAAAATCTAACAATCTTCCGGTTTCTTCCATCCAATACGAATCGGCCATTCAAGGCCCTCGGAGCATGGGACTACACACAGATGCGGGGTTCTTGGAAGATTTTTACTTCACATGGTATTTCTTGAGATATTGGGAAAGCCATGAAACAGGAGGGCTAGATTTCTTGGGGGTGATATGCCGGGAATTTCCTGTTCAAGTCACAGATCGCCAGTTCTATCACATATTCATCACGGATGTTGCAGGAAGACGGGAGAAAATCAGGAAATTTGGCCTATTCCGCTAGCGATGACCTAGGTATGATCTGTCTACAATTATTCGGAGATTGAATCAGGGCTATTAGTTATGCTGGCAGTTTTCCAGTCCCAGGATATAAAGTCTCTTGCCGCTTTCTTTCCATTGTCCATAGCATACCTATAAAGCTGAGCATGGGAAGAAAGTATTTGAAAAAGGACCTGTGCACAGAATATATGAGAATACCACTGGAAAGGTCATTGAACAGACATCATAAGACCACATAAGGCTGCATAGGCGGCCAATTATTCTACATTATCCTACCATAGGATAGTTCTGTGACTATTAAGTAAGTGATATAGAGCTGCGCCCAAAACTTATCACGCGAGCCTAACATGGCTGCTCAATGAACTTTAATCTATATCAAAGTATCGACAGCAACCTAGAGCTTTGTCACAGTACAACGT